AAAATTTGGAAAGATGTGTCGTTGGCACAAGTGTTTTGGGACGCAGAAAATATCGGGCATCTGTGCCATAAAGCTTGGAAAGCGTTACTAGGGAAAGATTAGCACGATAGAAGTGTTACAAGTTGTACTGCGCGACTCTGGCCGCGAATGCGACCAATCATATGGCAGACTCGAAGAGAGAGATGCGAGGAAATACAATTAATTGATATGAAAGAAGTAAATCGCTTAAGCCGAAAATTGTAAATATCAAATACATTTTATAGCCGTTTTGGTTTTCCATTACATAAAAAATGTAATTTCTTGCTCAGAGCTTTAAACATCATAATCTCATTATTTACGTTGCCATTGCCTGTTGCCATCCAGTAACAAGAATCTTCCTATGTTTGTCTTTTTATGCCTCTCGAGTTAAATTCAAATTGAATTAAATGTAGAGAAAAAAGAGGCTATTTCGAGGTTATTTGCAACGGTGCCGATGTACAAACCAGGATTGCAATTTATGTTCCGTTTCATCCCGCCGATTTCGGAAATAGTATTTATTAGAAAATGTTCAAATACGGAGAATTTAATACAGAGAACACAAGAGAGGGGATAAACGTGAAGCACATTAGTTGGGAATTTCGACAGAAGAGGTTTGAAATTTTCTACGTGAACGGTTGCAGCCAAAATTTTCCTGAATTGTTCTGGACAGCGGTGGCAAGGCTAGAGCCGAAAGCGCTTCGTGTGCACGCGCTGTCTCCTGCCTCCTTTCAGGGCTGGAGGCAGCTGCTCGGGGGGAGTCTGCCGTTCGGCGACGCGATCGCCAGACCCTGCGGAGGATGCACGCGTGGGCTCGCAGTGAGCGAATGGAGTTGGATCACCGCCTGTCTGGAACTATACAGGGTGGCCCGAAAGTTTTTGGACCGATTTTTAAATGCCAATATCTCGGAAAGTATTGAAGCTAGAGACTTGAAAAAATCACCAAATAAAAGTTCAATTCATCCTCTTTCCAATGATGTATGGTTTTCCAGTCGTAGGTGTCATGCCATGGCCGCAATGGTCATTTGAAAAAACCATGCTTGAAAAAAAAAGTTGTAAACTGAGGAAAAAAGTCACAAGTTCATTTTTAAGAGACAGAAACGGAGCTAACTTTTTATTTTTCGATGAAATGTTCAATGTGACCACCATTTTGATTCACTACAGCATTCAATCTCTTCCTCCACTTCAAAATGGCCTTCGAAATCCAAGTCTGGGAAAGCTCATCCCATGCTGCAGAAATTCGCTCCTTTAGGTGCTGGACGTCGCGGATTTTTGAACCTCGGTACACCTTCTGCTCCATAGCCGACCAGATGAAGTAGTCCACTGGGTTCAAATCTGGGCTGCAGGGTGGCCAGTTTTCAGGCTCGATGAAGTCAGGA